TCGTAAATCATGGCTGTGTTAATTGAGCTAAAAATCGAGGATGAACTTGCAACAGTGAAGTCAAATCTGCAATTCTGCAGACAAGAATACATAGTCACAATCAATTGAGGGCTGGATAAGTATTGGATTTCATTAGCCTTTAATAGAAAAACAATAAACTAAGATCACGGATTATCCAATTGTGTTTTAAAAAATGGAGAAGTCAGTGGAGAATGGAGATGATTCAGTAGGTGCATTTAGACTACACTAGTAGGGTCGCAGTAGGCGTATAAGACTATAAGAGGATTAGGTTTAGTTCCTGAAATTGAGTTATAATATATTGAGGAAAGATAGAATAATGGGTTTCAGTCGTGACTCCATTAATTGCAGAAATGACAAAACTTAGATAGTGGCTTATACCAATAATTAGGGTTCAGGGGTATTAACACTTTGAGTAGGTGTCGTCTGTCAAATCTTTTTTACAAAGATCTTTCAACAGTCAAAAAATGTATTAAGATTTTGGGGTCTTGTATTTAAAGGTCAAGACTGTTTAGTAAGGGGTTCGCTCTATCAGACTTTCAAAAATATATTTAAAGGTTATTTATCACACAAAATGACAGAGAAATTTCATTTGTAGCTTATCAAAATTTACTGACTTCAGTCTTCAGGCCTTTTTGGACATGTGTTTTCTGGTTTTCCCAGCATTCTGTTACTAAATGAGAAAACCAATTTTCGGTTTTTCAAGCTTGCCGAACCCCAGATAACTGCACAGAAAGACTTGCCAAAACAAATGATATAAGTTTTGGCCTTACTGTGCTTGTTGGTGTTCTTTTCCCCTTGCTCAGATTTTTTTATTCTTTCCTCTACTTTTTTTTTCTTGTGATTCAATTCCGGCCATAACCAAATCTGGGCTCAAAATAGGACAACCAAGCCCACAGCAGCCCATTTACATACATATATTAGGCCCAGGTATAGCCTTCTGGCGGTCCAACTCATCTTGAGTTGGGCACATGCCTGGCTCCAACAACAAGCTAGTCCAAGTGTTCATTTAGCAGTTGATTTGGAAAAGTCTGAAAAATGTCAAGCTTATGGGTTCAACCCATTTGATGTAAAGATTGCATAAGCTGCTTATTAGGCAAGGTAGTACAAACAGAACAACTTCAGTTCAAGATGGGCTTTTACCTAGACTGGGCCAGTATTCACCTCTTATTATAAGCCAAGTTCTTTGTGATCCATTACAATTGTCCGTTTGATAAGATGGGCTTAGAGGAAATGAAAAGTGTGATACAATGGGTTATTAAACAACCAAACAAGTAACATTTGGGGCCTTAATTGAAAGTCCAACTATAAAGTAGTGCCTTGTGATTAAGGGTGTCAATGGACCGGTTTTGGATTGGACCTCGTCCCAGCCAAAATCAATTTGGATGAATTAGGGAATATATCGACACACCTATGGTTGCCAGGGCTTTCCTGGCAGACCAAGGTATATGTCATCGCACCTGGGGTTGCCAGGACCTTCCTGGCAGATGAGGGTATATGTCATTGCTCCTGGGGTTGACTTGTGATGAGCATAAAACACCTCTTGGGACCCACAGTGAACAATGGGCGTTGACTCGTAATAACATCGCTAGTCAGATCTTGTCCTTTAACACGTTGTCTCTAGGAAACTCGTAAGGGAATGTACCATGCACGTGCCATGTGAGAATACTTAAGAGAAATGAATATTTGCCTTTGGAGGTTCTCACTAGACACATAGCAAAACCCCCCATTGTACTCCCTTAATAAATGACATAAAGATCTTCTTTCCTAATAGGAAATGTCTCATTTTAAATCCTTCTCCTTATAGCCTTGGTTCCTCTTTATATAAAGGGGAATAACTCTCTCCACAAAAAACAAAATATATACCCTTGACCTAAGGCTTCTTAGAAGGGGACTCTCCCTTCTCTCCTTTCTTCCCCATGTTCTCTCTATTTCCCATCACCTTCTCCGAACCTTCAAAGATTTGACCAACCTCCATAACCTTACCATCGCACTAACAATAAATATAGGCATGTTTGTGATTTGTCTACGATCCACTTGGCCAATACTTCCACAACCATCTCAAATCCATATTTGGAACAGAACTCAGTTGCTTCATTTCTTGTTTGTTGAACTAATTAAGTGCATCAGTTGTCATTCCAGTGGCCATTAATCCAAGATACTTGGTAATGGAAAAAAGGTCTAATCCAAAAGCTTAAGCTTGTCCGGGACTTTCTTTTGTGTGGCAATGCATACTAAATCCTTTTCTCGAACACCAATCGGGGTAAACCCGAAAGCCTTTACAGCCTTAAAAGCATACTTGAACAACACGACCTTCAAGGGAGAAGATCATTATATGACAGTCATAACCTGCTCCTACGGCTCATGGTTGAGTTCCTTGATTTGTTGTTAGACTTAGGGCTTTGCGCTTTTCTCTGATAGAAATTAGTAGGGGAGTGGAATAAAAAAAAAAACTTTCTATGCAAGAACGAAAAATAGAGAAACTTTCAAAAATTAAAGTTGATTTCTTACATCTCTGTTAATGAAAACAGAGAAAGAATATGTAAGTAGAAGATAATGAACAATATTCTCTTTTGAAGGATAGCTTTGACATTTTCAAATATTTTAAGTTACACATGTCATCATGTGATCAGATAATTGATATTGAAACATTTGAAAGTTTGGGTATTGCACTGACATGTTTAAAAATTCGGATGCTGCAATGACACGTTTAAAAGTTCAAGTACTAACTTAACACTACCCCCAAAGTTCAGGATAGTGTTAGTTGACCTAGATGGTTTTCTTGTTTTATAGGCTCCATTTGGAAAGTGTACAAATACAAATATCATGTAGAGTTCAAAACCTTATATTTTGTATTACGTTGTATGTATTTATACTGTACATATTTGTGTGTATTTGTACTCCTTCCAAACTGAGCCATAGGGCAACACAACTCCAAACCCATAATCCCTCCAACCCCTATGACAAAGGGATTTGATCTCAATTGTTTAAAAGTTGTAAGGTAGCAAACAGTCGTAGATGGAAATTAATTTTCAAAATTTTCATCCTTGGAAGAAATGCAGAAACCAGTTTTCACCTTTTGGAGAGATTCTCTCTCCTTCAGACCAAAATTGGTACTTGAACCGATTGGTCTTAGATCCAACAAAATAAAATTAAACAAGGGTTACCTGGTTTGCAAATCCAACCACTAGTGGAGTTAGTCACTATGGGGTTCACGCCTCCAACTACCACGTCTCTCTTGTTCTTGACAAGCTGTTGCGAGTCTCGCGTCGATGGATGTCCTCAATCAATTGACAGACAAAGATCAACTAATGTAGAGATCAAACCGGAAAGGATGGTGATTTCACAAATTCCAATAGTTCAATCAACTAAGCTGAAAACAATGGAGACTAATTCCCCCTTCTAAAATAATGGAACATAAATTTTAAAAAAATATTTTCCTTTATATTATTTCTCTGCAATATTAGACCCTAGGCTTAAACAAAGTGGTCTAGAAATTTTATTTGATTCTTACCATGAAAATATGGAAATTTATGTTGGATAAAAAAAGAAAGAAATTAATTCTTTATTATTATAAGTGTATAGTTTATATGAGTCACAATCACAAAATTTAAAAAAAAAAAAACTTATATATTACCATCATTTGAAACTACTAGTAGTAGTACATCAAATAAAATTTGATTATTATTAATTAAAATTAGGGAACAATCAATAACCCTTTTTTATCAAATTCATTTAGTGAACTTAATTTTTATTTGTATAGTAATATTACAAATTTCTTCTCATATGATGAATTAGATAATTTTAATATATTTAACTTGGTGGAAAGGACATTAACAAAATTATCATATCCTTGCCAATATGCACATGATCTACAAACCCCTCTAGTATCCATAGCATCAGAGTTTTATTTTAGTAAAATTAATAGGGTATCATATGAAAAGAAAAATTCGCATCACAAATAGAAATCTATAATGTACATATGCCTCATAGACTACAAAATCAAGAATGACATAACAATTCATATCATGAATCACTGGAAGATGTAGATCAAGTATAGGTGGTGGAAATTGAAATTAAAAGAGAAATCCTGCCCAATCTTCCTCTTGCAGCCACCACTAGGTTTTAAAGAGAAACCCCTGGTACATCTAGCGGTGTTAATTGGACTGGATTTGGTCCAATCTGGTCTATTCCAATGTAAGTCCATTACAAATGGACCAGGTCCAATCCAATCCCATGAATAATTTTTGGACCATTTTGAACCAATCCAATTCAATGTCTAGGCCGTCTAATCTGTTCAAATTTGTTGTAATTTAGATTAATTCTAACCCAAACATAGTCCATTGATACCTATACTCTTATCTTCTATCAATTGACCAGATATGAGTTCAAATCAGCTCCTCACAACAGAGCGCCCCACAATGTTCCACAGCACATCTCCACTGTGTATTGAGAACATCTCCCGATGATACCAGAAATGAAGCATCACCAGGAAATATTCTCAATGTACACAGCGGGGATGTGCTGTGGGATGGTCAGTTCAAATCCACCCCACAACGTCCCACAGCACATCCCAGATCCCAGCTGTGTATTGAGAAAATTCTCCGGATGATGGTTCATCATTTCATGTAATTTCGAATAAACGGTTGGGATGATGGTTCATTATTGGTGGCTCTGTCTCTGTCATCCTAGTTGTTAATTTAATTCATCCACCCAATTGGAGATCACATCTCTGCCTCACAACACCCACAGCACATCCTCGCCGTGTATTGAAAATATCTGGTAGATGTGCTGTGGGGCGGCCCCTTGTGAGGCAGAGATGTGAACTCACCCAATTGGGGTTGTGATAGATGCAGTAACAAGACCTTATTTGGCTTGACAGAATTCCTCCCAATTAGGGGGAAAGTTCACAAAATTTCACTCAGAAGTCAGAACTCTCATGTTTCTCTTATTTTTCTGTCAAACTAAACATGTCTGAAAGAAAGCAGCAGCCGCTAGAGTTGACTTGGCTCGTTGACTAGGCAGCAAGAAACCCCATCGCCAAACCAGCTATTGATTCCAAATTTTCAATGGGTGCCATAGAAGAGCATCAGCATGTGATTGAATGATGATTGACTAAGTTGAATCTCTCCTGGAGTCCAGAGAAAGGAGGTAAGCGACCTTAATCAGACGCAGAGCTTTATTATTTTATTTCATCAATCGTTGATCTTGGGTTCGTGGTTGGTCTTTGTGTCACCCAGTTCGTTTTATCGTTCGTTCAACCCTAAATTGGACAAGAAGATCAGAAGAATGGAGTTGTCTTACTTTAAAGGACGATCTTCCAAGAAAGAAAAACAAAGATTCTTCGTGGAGAATGGAGGTTGGGTGCTGGAACAGATAATAGTGGACTTCAATGAAGTATCGTCCCTTCTCACTTCTCAGATGCTTCTCTTACCAAGAAATCAAGAGGGCTACCAACAACTTCGCTCCTGATGCCATTTTCAAGGATTTGAGATTCTATAAGATGTACAGAGGAATGCACGACGGTCGTGCTATTGCCGTTAAGAAGTTTGCAGAGAGGATGGAGAAGTCTGATCAGACGGAGGAGATTGCTCTCGACATCTGCGTCAGTGAGGTGGCGGTGGCATCCCAAGTGTTCAAGCACAAGAACTTCTTAAAGCTCCTGGGCTACTGCTTGGAATCCCCAATCCCCATCCTCGTCTATGAATCTTCTTGCAGCAATGGAATTCTCAGAGATAACATCTTTCGTAAATTTACTTCGGCAACTGGGAGAGACGTAATATCATGGGGACAGAGGTTGAGGATCGCAACCCAGATAGCTAACGCGGTTGCCTTTCTCCAAACCGCCTTTCCCCGGCCCATCATCCATCCATTTCTGCATTCTAATTTTGTTCACTTAGACCAGAACTTCGTTCCCAAGCTATCTGATACTGGATTCACATTCTTGATCCCCAGAGATAAAACATACGTTGAGACTGGATCGAACGAGGATTTGGAACATTTAATTGCTCCGGAGTGCTTGTCATCTCGTCATTTGACGGAAAAGAGCGGTGTTTATGGATTTGGTGGTGTTTTGCTTGAGATTTTGACCGGAAAGATGGCTATTGCTAGCAAGGAGGTTTTCGGTGCTCTCAGATGTCTCAGATATAATCCCGATCAGAGACCCACAATGACAGAAGTTGCAAAGGAGATCAGACGAATTCAAAGCTTACAACCCTCATAGTCTCGTCATCTTCTTTTGATTGGTTCCCTACTTTCATTATTCATCTGTTTCACCGTTCTTCATCTTTGAAGGCCATCTCTGATGCGCTTGAAAGTTGAAACCTTGAATGATTTGCCATGATTCAAAGCTAAATGTTAAGCGATAGACGATAGTTGCAGACATCAAGCGATAGTAAGATGGGCCGGGTCCATTTGGGTTCAAATATCTAAACCACTACAACCCATCATTTGACTAGGCTTAAACAAAACTCTGCACACTTACCACTAGGGATATCAGTAGGTTGGGTTAAGTGGTAAACCCTCACCGACCAACCCTGTCGGGTTAGGATCTGGTCGGGCTTGTTCGGCTTGAAGTAGGCCCGTACTGGACCCAACCGGTTGAGGGTTCGGTAATCTCTAATCTCTCTCTATTTAGTTGGATCGAGTCAGGTTCAGGTTGACACGAGACGAGATTGTCTCAACCCGAACCCGACCCGCTTGGCATCCTTGTTTATTCTTTTGGTAGAATGCGAATCATAAATTCAGTAGATCGAGAGCAGTTTAAACTTTAAAGAGCTCTTCTATTAATTAAACACATTGACATCCCTCACCGACCCTTTAATATGCAAAGCATATGAATGCGATTCGTTCTTGTTAAGATCTGCATTGAACTAAGTAGACCTGTTCATGGGCCGGGGCCGGCCGGGCTCGGGCCGGGCTTTTACTGTGTATTAACAAATTTTTTTAAGGCCTGAGCCCGAGCCCGGCCCTCATAAAAAACCCGAAGCCCGAGCCTGGGCCCGGGCCCGGGCCCAAAATTTAGCCTATATTATTATTATTATTAATGTTGAAGCAGCTGAATAAAGAGAGAGATAGATTGAAATTATAAAGAAAAGTATAAAATATATGTATATATATATATTAAATTATAAATATATATTTTAATAAATATTATATTATTTATATATTTTATATAATATATAAAATATATAATACTGAGTTGGGCCGGGCCGGGCTTTTTTGACAAATCCCGAGCCCGGCCCAAAACACAGTCGGGCTTACTGTGTTAAGCCCGAGGTCAGGCCCGCGGGCCTAATTATATGACCAAGCCCGGCCGGGGTGCAGGCCGGGCCGGGCCGTCGGGCTACCCGGCCCATGAACAGGTCTAGAACTAAGTTAGGCATTGGACTTGGCCCACAAGTACATGACATAAAACACTTCTAACACTATTTTATTTACAAGAGCCCATTATACACTTCTAATCCTGGGCCATTTATTTACCAACCCTACAAAGTGCACTACTCTTCCGGGTGGAATGGGCCACAATGGGCCGTGAAGAAACAGTTTCATCAAATCCATTTTGGAACAGCGCCACCATCAATTTTTCTTGTAAACAAAGAATTTAGCCAGGCCTACATACATGACAAGCCAGAGGCTGCTCAGCCCTGCTAGTAACCAGTAATAGTAGTCAAGGTGGGCTTTGTTGAGATTGTTGTCCAGCCATTTATCCCCAAACCTTGAGCTCATTGACTGCACAATAGATATAACAGAACTGCTCAGTAAGCTGCCTGTGCCAAACATGCTAAGGAAAACTGCAGAGCCAATGCTGCGCATGTCCTCCGGCATCTGATCGTAGAAGAGTTCCGTCAAGCCGATGACGGCGAAAACATCCGAGATTCCCCAAATCATGTACTGTGGAAGCAACCACCACACACTCATAGGCACAGTTATCTTTGGTTGTTCCAACAGCCCATGCTCTTTACTGATGAGAATCCTTCTACTCTCTACTAGAGCTGCTATCACCATTCCGATCGTCGAAATGAACAGGCCGATTCCGATCCTTTGAAGCATTGTTACCCCATAAGGGATTCCGGTTAGTCTTCTCGTTACCGGAACAAAAATCCGGTCATATATGGGCACTGCAAAGATAACCACTAGGGGAATGGAGACTTGAAGTGATGCAGGTGGTATTTGAAACTTGGATCCGATCCTTCTGTCCATGGTTCTGCCTTGCTTGGTGAAGAGGGTGTTGGTCTGGGCAAACACCACAGCATACATCAAGCCACTGAACCAAATGGGAACCAAACGAAGGAGAAGCTTCACTTCTTCTACTTGAGTCACTGTGCAAAGCCTCCAGTTGTTCTTGTTGTTGCTGGACAAATCAATATTGTCTACAACAGTCGCTTTGTCCAGAAACCTGCTTTTTTTGTTAAGACTGTTAGATGAATGTTTCAAGGCTAGACATGTAGACAAGAATTGAAGGGGGTGAGAACACAATCCACACGATGGGCCTGAAATGGGCCGCTTCAATATGTCATTTGTCCCGGGTTAGCCATGTCTAATCTGGTCCGGATACTAACCCAATTTTGTTTCTGAATCGAGGAGGATCCAGGTTGGACCTTGGTTATGAACCGGCCCATGTTGATGATGCATAGCATAAAACAGGGCTGTGGTTTGTGGGTAATTGGAGATCGAAATGCAACCAATTGATCATCATGGGTTGGGCCTATTTGGATATTAAATCAAATATGGATCCTAATAACGGATCCAAACCGCGCCCCAAAACTAGTCAAGATGAAAAATATGGGTCCATCTTCTAATTATTCTAAAGGGTTTGTTTAATATGGGTTGAAGTGGTTGAACTGAATTAGCATATTACTTTGTCTTCATGATGATAATAATAATAATAATAATTCAATGTTGGTCTCGTGCAAGTAAAGTACCTAATTTGAAGAATTTGTACTCTTTTGGGAGCCAAATCCATTAAAGTTTTGACAATTTTCAAACATAAGCCCACCCAAGTTGCACCCTTAATCTGGATATGGATCTAGCCTTTACTGTTCTCAAAGACTCAAACTAAGAGGAGCCTTTTGATAATAGCTGAAGTGGCTGAACTGAATAACTTATTGCCTTGTCTTTTAATGGATAAAATAATATAATAATACCATATTCGAGAATATAGCAATCAATCCAACTTCACTAAAAGACAAAACAACAAGTGGTGTTCTTAAGCTACTTCATCTGTTATCAAACGGCCGCTAAGAAAGCGTACATTGACAACATATGGTAGAAATGTGTCCTATCAATCAATCTACTTCTGATTCTCTTTGGATGAAATGGAAGATATCATAAAGTGTTTCTTGATTATTAACATGCTACAAATTACACTTTGCATGATTATGATTTTCTTACCGATAGACTGTAACTTTTTATTTTTCTGTTTTATGTTTTTATTTTCTTCCTTTGTTCATCAGTCAGACTAATTCCTTCAAAATGTTAAATCATCCTATTACACCCTGTCATTTGGCTTAGGATTTTAGCTAGCAGCAACATTGTATATCTTCTTCGATAAGGTTGTGAAAGATTTACCAGCATATCTCCAGAAGGGACTTAATAGAACAGATGCTTTTATATGATTCCTGTCATGAGTCAGTACATTGTGACTTCTCTTTAAGACTTGAGCACATTTTGTTAAGCTTTTGGGGGTCAAGATTTTGGAGAGTACATATGTTCTTCTACCTTATCTTGGTTTAGAGGCTTTAGCGAGGCCACATTTTGTGGAATCTAGTTCCATTTTCTGTCTTGTTGGTGCATCATGAAGGAAATTATCAGTAGAATACCTGAAAGGGAAATCAGTGTGCTGAACCCTATCAACTATGATAAAGAAAGTGGAGGAATATATTGCTTCACATCAAATCTTCTTAATTGATTGATTGATCCATTGATTGTGCATTTTCGTGATGTTCTGTGTAGAGGGGATTTTCTTTAGCTCTTCTAATAAAGTTCCCTTTCTATGAGTTCATTTAATAATTTCTTTTGTGGATAAAAATATAATTGATCTTCCTCCTTCTTGTTTATATATGATGGTGATGGATTCCAATTCAGGATCACTATAATGGTAGAGGCGTGGGTAGGGTTCTTGTGGGTATGAGATCCAAACCAGATGGATTCTATTGTACGAAATGGTTTTCCTATTATTCTGAGATTCTGGAATGAGGTCAGTTCAGTCATGGGAGAGGTTTAGACTTGCATTTGGATACATGTTTAGTTTTTTTAATCAAGGGATAGTTTATTTGCATTGCAATTTCATTTCCACTGGTAGAAATGTATGGGAGTATTGCAAATGAACAAATTTTAATTCAAATTTTGCAATGTGGACCAAGTAAAATAAAACTCAAAGCAAAATTCAACCAAAATTTGCAATTTTCTCATATGCTATATGCTGCCTATGAATATACACTGATGCAAATGAAAGTGGAGTGCAAACAAATAGAGCTAAAGAACACATCCCAAATGGAACGCCAGTATCCAGCTTGAATGGAAATCTAACAATTTAAGCTCAGTTGACCAGAGTGCCAGACCACCATTAATTTCTTCCAAAATTTGATCATACAATTATACCCTCCTCCATGTTATGTTATGGGGGTGTTTCACTTTAACTACCTAAACTTTATTTTCTGCTAAAATGCCCCCTGAACTATCACAAATTAAACAAATAAACACCTCCATTAGGAAACGAATTTGCTTTTCAGTGTCTCACACCGACCTCACAGTACATCACAGCCATGCATTGAGAACATCTTCTCATGAATGATAACATCAAGTACGGGTCAGGACTCAGGAGATATTCTCAATGCATGGCTAAAAGTGATGTAAGATTGGTGTGAGGCATAATCTGTGAGGAGCAAATTCGGACTCCTCTATTAGCATTCCATCGGAAAAATTGGTAGTGTAAACATTTAAAAATGTCTAATGTTTCACATGATGCATATATAGACCTTTTCCTTTAGGCTATATTTAGTTTGAAGTAAAAAGTAGGGAAAGGAAGGAAAATGTAGAAAAACCTTTACCAATCTTGTATAGGTTTTCTTATCTTTTCCTGACAAGATGCCAATAGATTGCAATAGTTTAAGAGGGAACACAAAATTAAGTTTTAAGTACTTAAATTAATTACCTTTTCCATCCTAACTCCCTGGATTGGATTGTAAACCAAAAATTATAGCCTTTCTTTTTTATCTTTATTCCGTATGTCAAAAACCAATTTCAAAACGTGCAATAAACACTTCTATATATGTCACGTGAGAAAAAAAAAAGTTTTGCTACAACTCGCTACATGGATAGAAGATGGTGTGTTGTGAGTCCTGAACTCCTGATCTCCTGCACTTTTCTTTCTACACTTCCATACTCCAGTATGTGACAAGGGGTATTTATCCACGTGTATGGGTACACTTGTCACAGACTGAACAGAAGTGCAGGAAAAAAAATGCAGAGGATCCAAACCCGGATGATGCATGGCTTACCTAACCATAATTCCCTGATGAACTTCGGTAGTTCACTTCAAGTGGGTCTTTGCTGTGGACCAAAGACATGCTGATCAGGCAGAGTTTGGGGCTTTGGGCTTGTAGGTTATTAATAAAGCACTAAGCAACTTAGGTCTAAGGTATGCTTTATCACCCCATTTCAATTTTCAAGCCAAGAACTCATCAATTGATGATGCCCATAATTCTGAAGAGTAAAGAGTGCTTACCTGAACTGATGGGTAGGAGCCAGGGGCCGAGTGGTGGACAGAAAGTGAACGCCCATGTTCAAACCAGCTTTTCCTTCTTCAATATTTCCTCCGTGATCATCCTTAGACACAGACAAGCGCCACTTACGGCCAGCTGCAACCAAAACCTGCGCCACTCGAGTCAGTGGACTGCTGCCTTTAGCTGCCTGCAGCCTATATCTTCTCCGCCCAAGCAAGAACAGCACAAGCGCCATGGCCATTGCAGCAGCTGGGATTCCAAAGCCAACGGCCCACCCCACATTGTCCTGGACGTATATTACGATCAACATGGCCGTCATGGCGCCACCACTCGTCCCAAAGTACCACCAGTTGAAGAATGAGCTCTTGGCCTTCCTCTCCTCTGGCTTCTCTTCGTTGAACTGATCTGCCCCGAACGCTTGCACACACGGCTTGTGCCCGGCTTCCCCGATTGAGACGATGTAGAGAGAGAAGAAAAACAGCTGCCCTCGAAACTCTGGTGGGATTGCTTTTGTGGTTGATACAGTCAACATAACCAGTCCCTGTGGTTGAATAACAGAACATATTCCATGATCAAGCTCATGAGCTTGAAATAAGTGTGTTGAGAGTTGAGATGGAAGCAATTTATTATAAAAATTACATCAACCCACCATCAGATAGATCAAGGATGAGAAGAAGATGGCCTTGAAACGGCCTAAGTAGGAATCAGCGATGACAGCTCCCAGCAGTGGAAGGAGAGTCGTTATCCCAAACCAGATATTGACGTTCTTGGCCGCTGTTGCAGTGGACTCTCCAAGGACGTCGGTGAGATACGTCATGAGGTTCCCAAACATGCCGTAATAAGCGAATCGTTCAGCTATTTCAACACCTGTTGCATCAGATATTGAGCAAAGAAGTTGGTTTCAGTTAAGACCCAGAAAAATTAATGCAGTGAGCAGATGTCTAGTGAGGCTTAATTACCAATGATGTATATTGCAGAGATCCATCCTCCATGAGATGGTTCTTGTTGCAGAGAGACCTCCATGGGTTCTATTGACTTCTGAGTCATCAAGACAAAATTCAACAATGAAGATACACTGGACCTGTCCCAATAGAGCACAAACAGTAGATAGAGAGTTCTAGTACATTAATGGAGGCTGATGAAATTGAAGATTCACGAGAAGGGTGTTGAATCAACATAATAAATAGTGGATGACTCCCGCCTGTACTTAGAGAGGGCGTTACTATTCAAGGTTTGAAAACTAAGGCAGTAGTTTGTACAGGAAAAAAAAGAAAAAAAAAAAAGAAATTAAGGCAGCAGCTGAATTCAGGCCCCCATAATAAGCTATACTGAGCAGACAACTCATAATACTTGTCTAACTTGATAACTTAAAAGTCAGCTTCAGGCATCTACTCAACCTCCTCTTTGTTGTGTGATACATGGAGAAGGCTAACAGCCCACGTGGATTTGGAATGCATCAGGGCCATTCCGATGTTGTTAGACTCGGATTAGGTCACCGTCTTGTGGGTCAAATCCGATTCAATTGATCAGTCAAACAAAAAATTAAAAAAAAAAAAGCAAATAGTTTCAAACTTTTTTTAAAGCTATTTTATATCAAAATAATAGAACATGTATTTGAGATACGATTGATCAAAAGCAAAGTTTGTTAAGATTTGGGCAGCCCAAAAACCGTTTTGGGTGCAGGTTCCAGGTTCTGATGGTTGGACCATCCTATCTGGTCCGAGTGTGACAACACTAAAGAGTAAAGACCAGGAGACAATCACATGAATGGTATTTAGGAGACTATTGAATCTTGATATATAGACCGAAGGACCCAATTAGTATATAGTACTTTGATCTTGCACTCAATCCCCTAGATCTTTGTTCCCAATTGACTAGAGTTTTAAGAGTTAAACCACTGGTTGGGAACCCATATAAAATCTGGGGATTGATAGGGGTTGTAGCGCCTATGAACCGACACAGAAGATTCCTACTTGGTTTTCAAACAGGGCTCTATATAGGATGTGATGTCTAATCCATCCCATAAAAACTCCAACTTTGGACCTTAATGTGCCCTACCAATCTTAGAAGAACAAACCTTACCGTCCTCTAAGTGGAGTTTTATGACAAGATCTCTTTATCTTTTTTGTTTTAGGTAAAAAAAGTTTGTCCACCATTATGTGTCTCCACTCTCCACCATTCCATGTGCAAAAAGTGGTGTTGAGTCAAGGGTTGTGAGTCTGGTTATTGTTTAATGTTTGGCAGAAATGCTCCCAAAATGGTTTTTTATATATATATTATGAGTATCACTTTCTTGAAAGCATGTTGAATTGTTGAAGCATTTCATCAAAGACCTGAGACTTGCTTTTCCTTTATTCCATAAAGATAATGTTAATCAGTACTCTGGGGTAGTAACATGAGTACTGATCTTGAAACAAAAGGTTCTGTTTATCCCATGGAGAGATCCTTTGACTTCCTGCAAACAGAAGGAGAAGGAGAAATGAGAAAGCACTTAATTTTCCAGAGGATCAGAGCATCTGTTTCTTGGTTTACAGGAGGGTTTGTTTTGTATGTTTTAGAACTCTTAAGAGATTTGAATAAAATTTTGTGGCTTTCGATGCACTTGTAGATATATAAATTTGGGTTCCCCTCAAAAGGGAAATTGTTTTTAACTTTTGTTATGTGTGGTCACTACTTTCTCAGATGTCTCCCTAGCTAGTCCCTTTTCCGAGCTGAAAAGAATGAATGACTTCAAGGGAATAAAGGTTTAGGCTGGCAGATAGAGAGAGATAGAACTATACGAACTGGCTGGGCTTTGGATGTTCTAAAACTACACATCCACCGATTCCAAAATGGTTGGACGAAATTCATTATATGTGGCCTGTAAATTCTGGTTCACGAAAACAAATAGGAAAGTGTTTGGCCTTGAGAAGTCAATATTAGCTGTACCCAATTTTAGGGCTTTCTTGAGAAGAAAATTGTGGTTTGTGGATTGAATTTGAATGTGGACAATTGAAAGGATGTCTATGGTTCTATTAATTTTTAGGGGAAATTCTTTTTTTGGATTTTGAGAGGGGGGAAAGTAGGTCAAGGGGATTTTGGTTCTCATTGACCAAGAATCATATGTTCTTTTTCCAGATTAATGTGGGGACCAGGGAAAGTTTATTTTCTTAGGGTAAGTGATACCCATCTTCTAGGTGGGTAAATAACTTTCCCACCAGGGGAAAAGTTTCCAACACTTGAATGGGACAAAAATACCCCTTTTAATAATGGATTTTTATGGTTAAAATGGTCATTTCCCTTTTTTTATTTGGAAAATAAAAGAACATGGGTAAATACACTTAACTGGGTAAGTGCTTCCCAAGTAAAACTTATCCAGGTAATCGTATTTACCTGAATAAATAACTTACCGAAAAGTGAACAGGGCCTTAGTGTTTCTCTTAAAGTTGCTTATTTGCCCTTGTGCATTTCTGTAAGTTGCTTCTATATATTTAGTGTATTAATTTTTTAGACTCTATATTCTGGCAGATCTAGATTCCAGACCATATATCAGATAAAATTTCACTTTAGCATGGAAGGAGAAGAGGATCATTGGCAGTTGGAAAAAACCACCATGTAACCCCTATTGCCAGGTGATGTTTGAACTGAAAGACTTAATGCTTTAGGTGGTTGTCACTCCTTAGTCGATGAAACCGAAGTTGGGTTGATTACTCAACCCTTAAATATTTTGTCACTTAAAAACGTATTCGCTAAAAGATAAAGCAATAAGTCATTAAGTTCAGAAACTTCAGCCTTTATATCAAATGGCACTAAGCTTCTTTCTAACATGAGCATTGTCACTTTGTTAGATCTACCATTCAAACGCGCCTTTCCTCCTTCCATGATGGAAGCGAAAGAAACCTTTTTTCAAAACCTCAACAATTATTATTTGATGGTAGCCCTTGAAAACCTCAACAATTTTGGTTAGAAAACCATTATAGACTCAAGTACTGTTTGTGTTCATTATAATGTTGGCACCTTTTTTTCATATTTCTTTTGATGTTTATTACCTAACTAACAATATTCCATTATTTAATAATGAAAACTGTGTATAACAAAAACACTGTATGATATGCCATTTGATAACAAAGACTATCAATGTTGCACCCCATGTTCCCAAGATGGCCTAAACTGTGCAGAGTGACCTTGATGAAGTGCAGCATTAATTGTAGAATAAAGCACTTTTCCAGTATTAATACCACAAGACATGTTTCTGTTCCATAGAATTGTTCATAAAATGTTAGAACATTAGTGGCCAAAAGTAATAAAATAAGACACAAGCTCAACAATATAGCATCATAATTAATATGCTTTTGTTAACAATTTGGAACAAAACATTGTGAAAACAATGCTATCATGTGTGGCAAAAGATTCTCCTCTTTCTTAGACATTTTCCAGTGGAAGTTGAAAATTTGAAGCTTCAGTGGTTAGGATCTCCATTGACAAAAAGCTCACTGTAAAATATGGATGACAAAATGTCATCTCCAAAAGTCAAACACTTAAAAGTATTTTTTTTTAAAAGTCAAATACTTACTTTGGCTTCTATTCTTCATTTGATTCCCTTGATTTAGCTAAAAGGAAACTCAAGATTAATGACCCTGTGTGTAAGATTACCTTGAAGATGGTGGCACACTTTTGTGGATTTCATTTTGGCTAAGCAAGTTTGGTTAATAAGAACCAGATCAGAACTGTCAAGAATAAAGGGTTGAGGATTAGTTAATCATTCAAAGGATAGAATCTTATGCTCTAAAAATCACAAGATTGGAGGAGATTAGAAGAAAACTAATGCTTTAATTTCTTCGATTCCCTCCTCTAGGCTAGATTATACTTTAGAAATAATCAGAACAACCCAATCACAACAACCCAATCACAATTGTCAACTAGCTAGCCAACATTCTGTATATAGAGGGCCTCGACATGTTGAACACCATTTCTACCAACAAGGCCAAGGTCAATAAAACCCTAAATCAGGATTAAAGGAATTCGATGTTGGCCGACTAAGTTCAATTTTGATGGTAAGATGGATAACATTCTTTAAGCATACAGTTCATCAGTAGTACAAGAATCACTTACTGAAGCACGTTTCTAAGTTACCAAAAATTAACAAAATTTCATCAGATGTTGATTTTTCATTTTAGGTGAACAAATCAAAATTAACAATTCTTTGTTTAGAACTTTTCAATCAGAAGTTAAAATGTTTCCTTGAAACTTCGTTGTCCATCTGGTGAAAATTAAGTTTGGCTAGAATTAATGAAATAAATACCATATCAGTATATATAAACAAAATGTAGAAAATGCAAAATTTCAGGAAAAAAAAAATGGTTCATTCAATTAAGGGCCTTAAACAGAAATTGTGAAACCACAGGAAAAAAAAAATAGTAAATTTTCCTAATTAGATGATACTTCCCAACCAACTTGAAAATGCTTTGAAAGACCACAAAAGGGGAAAATAAAATAATATTATTTTTCTAAGAATTGCGGACTTGACTAAAAAAAACTTAACTTTTCACCTCCCAAATGGCTATACTTTTTCTTCACTTTGTTCAATTGCCTGACGGATTTGATCCCACTAAGTAGTTGCACTAACAAGTTGGTACCTCCTGGATCAAAGCTTGGTGGTCCATTGAGGTTTCCCCTCTTTTCATGGCCTCTCTTGATTAGACTTCCTCTGGCATTAGTGCTCCATAAATTGTCCTGCAAATTATTCACCGCGCTAAGTGGCTAAAATGGAGGGGTCAATCATATAATGATCCACCTAGAAAATTTTTCTCAGATCTATAAACAGTTCTTTTTTACTTGACATGATCCACAGAGAATTCCCTTCACCAACTGATCTATTGAAAATGTTGGATCTCAAAATAGTATTCACACTCTATTAAATATGTAATGATGGAGTGTAACTAAGGTTGCAGGCAGACCAGGATCAAATCATTGAATGAAACTAGATCCAAAGTTTGCCCATTAATTTTCAGATTTGAATCAAATCTTATCCATTTGATTCCAATGATCATACATACTTGGACCCAGTTCAGATATTGCAAAGAATTATTTAATTAAATTAAAATTATCCGATTCCAATAAGAATACCTCATATGAGACTTGAACCTATGACTCCAACTTTGCCAATAAATACATATATTAATCATATCTAGATCTAGGAACTTTGCTAATTTGATGATATTCAGTCGGATAAGATTCAGGTAGAGCCATATTTATATCCAATTATAAATGGGGTTGAATTTGAATTATATTGCCTTAATCAGATTTAGAAATTCAGACAAATAGATACCATTTGCAGTCAACTATAATCTT